TCTCACTGTTCTTGGGGTGTGTGGTAAATCCTATTTTTCTATTTTGTTGCCCCATAAAACCACTTTACACAATTTTCGTCTTTTGTTTTTCGATTTTCTTCATGTTCTGTAGCAGTTTCATTCTTTCTTGGTTCTTCACTTTGTATACTTTGTTGGGATCTTGGGTTCGATTAGCTACGAAGGTGATTTCAATTCGCTAAAGGATTTTTCTCCAAGAAAATGTATTCTGATTTCTTTTCCTTATTTTTGTTAGAAATCTTTCACTCAGGAACTTTACAGTCCATCGTGTATTGCCTGTTGGTTCTGTGCAGCTTTTTAAGTGTATTCCAAATTCGTTTTGTTTCACTTGAATTTCTTATTTTGATTTTCTTTCTGTACTCTGGTGAAGCCCTGACTTTTACCAATTATTGCTAGTGCCGTGGCCGTGGGGTCGGGGCCAGCCAGCGAATTAGCCTTTGTTGGGCAACCAATCAACTTGCACTGCTTGCTCCACTAAACCCCTCTCTATCTGAGCGTGCACTGCTTTAGCGCGCCCTTCTTTCAATGTTCTGGCCGCTGGCTTTTCATTACTTTTCTATCAACGTACTTAGGCCATTGTTCTGCAGTTATTTAGCACAATCAACACTCGATGCCGCTGATAGCCGTTGGTAAGTCTGGACCAGTTCCCTACCCTTCTGCTCAGTACCAACCTTCTGCTAAGCTAACCACCTCTCGTGTAGGTTCCCTTCTGGTCCTTGGACTGCTTCCCCCTTCTGCTTGCCTTAATTCGAGAGAGGAGAGAGAGGCTTCCCTTTGGCTTAGTAAATTTTATCAATGGCAAACATTTCTCTCTTCTCTACCCATGCCCTACCACATCCTAAGGGTTGGGTGTTCACCTGAAGGCAAGATCCTTTGTTCATTTACGTTTCAGTTGAGTTGCACACAAAATTAATGGAAATTGCTCAGCAGAATGTACGACTACGAGGACTCTACCTACCCCACAAGATGTTGTCGGGTACGGAGGATTTACAGATAGATGCTGTTGAGTGGAAGACACAGAGGCACACAGAGAGACACACAGAAGGGGGTATTAAAAAATTAACAAAAAGCTTGCTTGCAAAGTGGCAAACTGGCAGTGGCTCTGGCCAACCTCTGGCAGTCTAGCCTGCTTCGTCCTGAGGTATTTCATGTAATTGTTGCATGCCCCAACCCCAGTCCTAGTCCCAGGCCCATTTGCAGTCCCAGTCACTTCCTGCAATTGCATTCAATTGGAATTATCTATGAATGGCTTAGGCCAGTCTTAGAGCGATATAACAGCATGGGCACCTGGATTGTCCTGGGAATCCTGTTAGGCAGCAAGTATTTGACTCTCGGACAAGTTGTTGAGCGCTTAAGCTGGGGCCAGCGTCCGTAAGAGAGGTTGTTGAAAGTGTAGGACTACTCCTTAAATTAGAGTGAAGTCGTGGACTTGGATAAGGCAAAAGCAAGTAGAGGAAACTATAGTTTGAGATTCTTTTGCTTAGGAAATTCTCAAGGAAACCGTCCTGTCGTCCTATTCCGTTCTTCACTTGAGCAAAGATACATTTATTGTCTTCAACTGCCCTGAGGTGCATTCCTGTTGGTTCTTCCCCGCCCTTAGAGGTTTTTTTCCACCACGAAATTTATGTCTATTCCTGTTCATTCTTCCACTCATCGATTCCATTATATTTTCTCCTTTGCTCCTTGCTCAATTTTTACGCTACTTGTTGATTAGTTTTAAATGAGTTTTGCTGACGGCATTTCCTAACTCGCCCCAGTCAACCCTTTGCAGTGCCAGCCTTCTCCAGCCCTGATTGATATTTACGCGCTTTGGCTGATTGAAGTGTAATCAGCAAGCAGTCAGTCAGAGAGTCACTCACTCTCAGTGTGGAGTGGGAACTCCGCCACTCAATCGAAGAAAGCTGCGAGGCATGTATTAGCAGTGGAATGAAATCTAAGTGAGCAAATTGTAATTAAAATGGCACCAAACAGCAGCAAAAATCAACGACTAGCCTCGTTTTTTATACCCTTACCAGGCTTTAAGCATGGCAGCACTTGAGAAAGTATTGGCAGAGCAATATTGTTCTGATTGGCTGATATTTGTATAGAAAGATATGTCCAAAGGTTTACCGATCGACTGTTTGCTGTTAGCTGTAATCTCTAGGATTCAAATATCTGATCCTAATAGAAATGCCCTGAGAAAGGGTATGAACAAAGCGATGCAACAAATTACGCCCGAGGACACAAACAATATGCATTAGAGCTGAAGAACAAGAAGAGCAACAGACGGAGTCACTGAAGAAGAATAAGAAGTTAAAGAAAGAGTCGCAGAGGATGCGAAAGGGTGTTCAAGAGAGAGACAGAGAGCAGGTCAAAGCACTCGACTGTCTGTTGGCAATGACGTTGACAGAGACGAGACGCTAATGAAAATGCATAAGCAGCTGCAGCGGAATTATAGCAATAGGAGCAGTAAATGGGAGCCGACGGAATGAGTAGCGGGAAAGACAGTCAAAGAAGTTATGATAGGAGTGAAGAAAAGAACAACATATGCAGTGGAATAATGAGCGGACAAGCATTGCGACAAACAGTGCATGAACAGTAACAGAAACTATAAAGAAGGAATAACGGGATTATGATAAGCGAGAGAGAAAATTATGAGCAAATGGCAATATCAACAGGAGAGGCTTTTTTGCTTTGCTTACAATAAAGAGATTATTTCATCATAGGTCAAAATGCACGAATGCAAAGTGAATACCAGCCACGCATACGGATTGTGGCAGAATTTAAAGCAGTGAAAACAGAGTCACGACAAAAAATAGTAAACGAAAACAAACAGTAAACGAATACAAGCAGCAGCGACACAACACAAGCAACGGTATTCTAATGAACAGAATGCACTCAGAGAGAAAGAGCACATTGCGAATGCAACAGCATTACAAATGCTAAAATGGGCAATACAAAAGATGAAAGCCGCCCAGTCACGGCGCCACTCATAAATACGCCGACGCCGCCAACAAAAGGCAGGACAGACAGATGGGAGTCGAGAGAGTGGCGTGGGTGGGGAGCGTGCAGAGGGTAGTGAGTGGGTGGGGAGAGATAACATGCACTCGTCTCGCACTCATCGTGTGTGCGTTGACAGACAAAACGTTCGTTGGGCATCGCATCCCATGCTCTCTGTCCGTTCGTTCGTCTTTCCGTCTGTTTGTCTCATATCTGTTTGTCTCTGTCAGTCACTTTGTCCCTTTTGTCAAGCACTCTGGTGGCAGTCATCGTTGCAGTCGTCGCTCGCTGCCTCTGCGGCGGTCTCCGGTCTCAGTCCGGGCGTAAATCAAAGTGAAAAGCGTGCTAATTGCATTAAAAGCATATAAACAAAATGCAATGCAAGTGGCTGTGATAAATATAAAAAAACAACAACAGCGAAATGAAAAGCCTCCCAACTGAATGTCACAGAATATCTCCCTCTGACTGCTCGTTGCCTTTTGTGCTGTGAAATTAAGCAAATAAGCATGAGCAACGAGCGAAATGGCATCAAAAAGGGGTAACAGAAAGGACAGCCATGCAGGAGGAGGCCGTAACTTTGTAGCCGTATCGTAGCCCCTTGTTGGCCTCACTCGCGCCGGCTCTCATTTGGTTTAATTGCTAGCAGGGGGGCACCCGACGGCTTTAAATGGAAGCAAAAGGTTTCCACATGGAGGGGCTTTGAATTAAGCTAGGAGTTTTCTTTAATTTTTGAGCCAGGACTTAAGAAGAGGAGGAGTGCAATGGATCGTGCATCGGATCACCTAATTATTGGTTTTCTGGTATTATCTTTCTTTACCGACTGCCCCATGTTAATAATAGCTCATCGACCCTGTTGGCAGGTAACAAAAAATCAACAATAGAGCCTATAACCTGAAGTTGTTCTCTTACAGTTAGGTCAGGAGTGTTGGCAAGCCATTAACCTTCCATCAAGAAAGCAGTCTGGATAAGCAAGAACACAATCTGAGCACCCATTTATGGCTAGCGATACGCACATGCTTCTGTTGCCCCTAACTGCATGTACTCAGGGCATGGTTCGGCGCGGGTTCTGGAATCGTTCGTTTTATAGCACCCAATCACGACTCCGACTCCGACTCCGAACTGGTGGGGAGATATGAGTACTCGTGGAGGAACAGGCAGCCGCATGCGTAGCGCAAATTCAATCGTACAATGTGTTGATATATGACACGTAATCAAATGTTTAAGTGCATGGCACACGCATCGCCAAGTCACAGAGAGAGAGAGAGAGAGAGACAGAGAGCGAGAGAGTTCTTCCATATGCCGTTCTCTTTCAACAACAAAAAATATGAAGAAAATCTATAGCAAAAGATAGGTGGCGAAAGGGGGGGGAGGAGGAGTAGGAGGCACACAGCAAATCCGACAAGTAAATATAATAACAATAAAATGAAGCAACGACATGAATGCCAGCGCAGAGCAGAGCCAAGGCGAGATATTATGACACTGCCAACAGCGATAAAAAAGAAAGTATAACAGCAAAAAGAATGCCTGGCAAGGACAATTGCTGGCACGAAGATTCGTTGGGGCAACGTCTGTTTCAGGTCAAGAGCGCATAAAGACAACGACAGCCAACTGACGCAGGACCCAGAGTGTGTGGGGGTGAAGTGCAAAAGTGTTGCCAGCTCTGTGTGGGGCATGGGGGCAGCTCCGTCTTTGAAGCGCCTTCCAGTCATAAATATTTTCTGCTTTTGTTTTTGTTTTGTTTGTTGTTGCATTCTTTATTTCTTTAAAGACTTAATAACATTCATTATCCGTATAATTTACACTGCTACACAGGGTTTTGGCTTAAGTTCTCTATGGATTTGAATATAATTTCACTAGTTATGCTCTTAGCCTATTAACATTTAACAATTGGTTTCATCATACACGAGAGAGGGTTACACATATAGAGATATGGCTTAAGGTGTGCGTCATACGTATAAGTTCAGTGAAATCGATGAATGGCATGGGGTGAGTGAGGAGTTTTATTTGCGTACGCTTTACAATTACATAGCTTTTCACGGTCAATAGCTGGTATTTTGGTATTAGAAAGGGAAGAGTGTCGTCTACGAAAACTAATTACATTTTACAATTATTCGACACACATCCACCTCCAGTTCATAAAATCTACTTTACTTTCAAAACGTATCAAGAAAACTATCCTTAAAATATATACAATCTTATGCTACTCTTATTTCTTTTATTCCTAAAGTTAAGCAATGGAAAAAGCAATACAAAAACTAAGGAAAATAATAAATATCGATTCAGGTTTTAATTATTTTTGTACGCCTGTACAAGGATTTTAAATGAATTTTATACAGAGCTTTGCATTATATTCTCAAACTATTCCAGTTCTACGTTGCCTATATTTTAAGCTTTAGTTTGGATCAACCTTTTAGCTGATTCTAAATCTTAGTCGTTCATTATCTCTAACACAAATACTAAGATTATTTTCGTTCTTCATCCAAAGGATATGCTTAGACTATGAAATGATTAAATTTTGGGATATCTTAAAACCTAATCGTTTTGGCTACTTACTTGGGCTTAAAATGTCTATACAATATATGTTAAGCATACGTATATCTTCGTCTGTCTTCATTTTAGATATTTGTTTCTGTTTTTTCTTTATTTGTTTTCTTCACTTTTATTTTATTTGTTTTTTTTTGTATTTCTTAGCAAACAACTTTGAGCATTTTTCTTAGGAGCTAAGAAGCAGAAAGCCCAAAGAGGAACAACGACATTCTATGCTATAAATAGACTCCATCTAATAATTATTTATAGATATGTACAGACACACAGTGAAGCAGGACCAATATGCGGCGTATACTTGATGTAAATTCAAATATTTACAAAGAACTTGATGGGATTTTCAAATCAAACAAAAGATGCTTTTCCGCCTCCACCTCCTCCTCATCATCTCTATTGGCCAACATCTTTGTTAATTGTTATCTACGTGGAGCAGCGTCCACGTTTAATTGGGTCGACAGCCGCCTGCTGCCGGCCATCCTCCTGTTGCAAGTCCATCTCCAAGGGCAGGAGCAGCAACCGCTCCCCTGAATGGTCGTGGGAAGGCTACACAGAAATGCTATTAAGACTGGCAGCGCGTAGAGGGAAATGCGTGCAATTGATTTGGAAGCTAATATGCGTGACCAGAACGCAGATGAGCCCGCTACCGTGCCCCAAACTGATGATGATGATGCTGCTGCCGCACTGGAGGAGGCGGCACTTGCCGCCGCTGATGTGGCCGCTGCGGGGCGTCGACTCTTCTTCAGTTGTTTATCTGCTGGGTAAAGCGAAAGGCAAACAGTTGGAAAAGTTTGGTCTGTGTGTGTTTGGGTGTGTGTGTGTGTGCGGAACAACTGTTGCTGTGGCCGATGATTGATGATCACTTACCTTCCAGCGGGGACTGGGACTTGTCCAGCGACTGGCGGGACTTGGACATGACCGTCTCCCGTGACTCGAGAACGGGTATTCTCTGGTGCTTGTCACTCTCCACGCTCTCCTCGTTGCTCTGCCAATACACGGACGAGATTTTGGCGACACACTGCAGCCGTGTCCCGGAAAATGCAAGAGGGAAACGGGAAAAACTTTCATCAAATCTGTGTACATTGATAAATGTGCTGACTAGCGGGGCAGGGCAAGAAGAGAATGAGTATAATGCGGAAGGTGGTGCCCTGTACTGCTCCATTGGTGTCATTCTCTTGACGGCATAGTAAAAGTTTTATGTTTTCATTAACTCCTACCGTAAGGGGCGCATAACCCAAAAAATTACCCGCATACTCGCATACATCTCCAAAGGACGGAGGGCACTCAAATATACGAGTATACACAAACGGACAAGCACACACCCCGGACACACTCATATGCAAACGGACAAGCATCGTCTGTTCGGCCAATGGTTGTGGCACAGTGGAATGAAATGTGCAAACTTGATTACGATATTTGAAACATCTTTTTTAGAGTATCGATGCCTGATTGGTTTTTGGATTCACATTCCTATTGTTGTTGTCGTGGTGTTAATTGAACCCTGAAACTATCGATTTGCCTACCACTGTGCGGGCACAGGGCATGTCATAAGAACATTTCGTCTCTGCCACCCGCGCTCGCATGAAATTTTGTGGCTTGTTCAACATACATTTGCACTTGCACCACCACCCACAGCCTCACAGCCTCACAGCTTCACAGCCCCCACACCCCATCCATGGCCTTTGGTTGTGGCGGATGTGTGGATTGGTCAGTGGACAGTGGGCAGTGGGCAGTGGGCAGTGGGGCAGGGGTGAGTGGTTGGGCTGCCAACTGCGTCCGAATGGATAATAATCAACATGAGCTGCCGTGTTATGTTGTCGCAAATTGAATCAGAGGAGCGCTCTGCTGCTTCTCCTCTGCACCGAATGTCGCCATGAATGTATCAATTTTCATGGCTGTAATCAGCTTAAAGCCAGAGGAGGACAGGCAAAGGCCTCCCCACCAGGAACCCATCAGATCAGTTCGGGAACCCGTGACTCACCTTTAGCTTCATGTCGCCGTGCTTGAAATGTCATCCGCGGACGCGAAACTCCAGCCCCAGTCGTGCCACCTCCAGACCCTCGCGGCCCACAGTCAGCGGCTCGTAGGGGCGCAGCAGGGAGCGATTCGCGTGCATCCCGTTAATCAGCCAACTGAGATGGCAAACGGGCTTCGAGGCCGCCGAGGTACAGTTGACGCGCACCATGTCGCCAATTTGGTAGCGTGGCTGTCCGCCAGTGATCTGTGGTCCATGCTTTGGTGTCACTGCAATTCGAGCAGAGAGAAAGAGTTCAGAGATTAGTGAGACTTAAGAACTTGGATGGGTGATACGAGTCTGTGGCTGAGTTGAAGAGGTACTTGGGTGCCAATTGAATGTTTGTTTTCGGTGTAGCCATAATGTTTGGATTCGGACAAGGGAACACAGAGAAAACATTGAAATATTCTGAAAGATTCCTTGAAACTAAAGGTCTGATCGTACAGCACTAAAAACAATGTGATGGGAGTTAAATATTTAAGAGCTAAATGAATGAATTCTCATGGCTGTAATGAAAGGATTTCCTACTAGCGTTCCATGTAGCATTCCCAACCAAATGCAGTTGTTTCCGACCAAACAAGATTGATTGTTAATTTGGTTATTGACTCGAAACATCGTTCGATTTTGCTCGCTTTCGGGCGGGCCAATTGAAGTCGTTATGCCTCCCTCCAACCAAAGCCCCAACCGAGCTGCCGACACAAACTAATTTTAACCTAAATCAAAAAGTAAACAAATAGTAGATATAAATAGTAAAAATACTGAACACAAAAATGTCTATGGGTATATGTCCTGGCTCGCATTTTTTTTTTTACACGTTGTTGGATTTGATTTGTTCTTTTTCTCATTTTGGAGGTTGCTGCTGCCGGTTTTTTGTTGCCTGTTTTTTTGTTGGCTGCTTTTTGTGGAGCACTGTGTGTTAGCTACAGCTGCCTGCCCGGATGAATGTTGGCCATAATGGAGAGCACATACCCGCAGTTTTGTCTGTCTGTTTTTGCTGCCCGACCTGGCTGCCTGCCAAATGGGTCAACGAGGGGAGAAATCGAAGAGAAATTGTATCGACTGTAGTCGAGCATAATCGATAAATTCTCATTGATGAAAAGCTTGAAGCAATTTAAAAGGAAATGCGCGAAAATGCAGCAACGATTTCTCACTAATAATGTTAAAAAATGAGAAAATCTCCAACAGTAAAGAAATTAAAAGAAAAATCCTGAAGGAAAGGGGTCAAGAAAAAGTTCCATTGTTTGGTATTGTCCTTTCTCTACTTTTTCTTTGCTTTATTTTCAATCGACTCTTTCTTATTGTTTTTCCATATTTTCCTCCACTCTTTCTGATTGTTTTTATACACTTTATTCTACTCCTTCTTATTGCTCGCCTCAACTGAACTGAACGGCATAAATTATTATTTTCAGCGTCTATTTTTACGCTGCTTTGACATTGATGAAGCTGTTGATATTCCCGTTTATCACGATTTAATGTGCCCTCTCCCTTGTTTGTACTGCCTTTAATATTTTGGCAAAATGTTGAACAATTTGGCATCGTTTTTTGTTCGTTTTTTTCGTTGCTGTTTGAGTTGAAAGGTGACTGGGCGGGTGAGTAAACATTTTGTTGTCTGCCCGCTGTATCAATTGGTAATAATTGTTGGGCATTTTTATTATATTGCCGCCATTGTCCGGCATTGTTTGCCCAAAGGCTTTCTCAGGCAACGGATCAACATGGAGCCCGTGTTCGCTTTGCATGGGCGCCGTCTGAAGGTTCGGGCCATTGTCTGGCCCAGCGACCGAACAATGGAATCAATTGAGCAACTTAAACAAATATCTAAGCAAATCCGTTGCCTAAATAAACTAACAATTTTTCACCTTAATAGCTTTTGCTTTTGATTGAAAAGAAACGCGTTAAAGTACAGTTTACAACTAAGAGAAAGAGTGTTTCGGGTTAACCGTTTGAGTCCTAACAAATTGTAGTTGATAACTGAAATATAGCGATAAATTATCCAACGTGAAATCTTAACTTATTGAATTTCTTTGATATTGTAAAATATCCAATTTTTCTACTCGAATTTCATTCAATGATTTTTCCAAGATAAGAGGCAACAGAGGGCAGCAGAGTTTTCAACGCAACTCACTCTCGTGGTGAAGGATTATGTTGAACCAATTTTGCCTCCAAACCGGATATTCTCCATCATATGCAGCTGTGTGTGGCGGGTGACTGGCTGTCTGGGTGACAGTCCCCAGAGCTTTCTCCCATTTTCAATTTCCGCGCATACACTTCAATTATCGCTTTTGTCAGTCGCTGAGTCAATCATGCAGTCGCTCATTCGCTCGGTCCGTCGGTGAGTCTAATCTAACCAAATGGGTCAAACATATTTGGGCTCGTCATGGCGGCTCATCATTTACGGGCTTTGCCCTGTAATTGCATTCAATTATTTCAACCAGCATATCGTGCGCAGGGACTCCATGAGCTGGGCTTTAGTTCCATTTGCAGGTTCCAATGCGCATTAATTTCAATACTTCCTTGTGTGATAGAAATACAATTTCTTGGATTTACTTGAATGCAACAAACACTTCCTAGACTCGTGTGTTATCAGGGCAAGTTCCTAGAATCGTTGTACAAAATATCCCATTAGGGAATAAGCATTTATGTATCGAGGATATTGCAGGAATGAAAGGGAGTAACAGTTCGTTGTCCAATGTGATTCTACTGCTAATGAAACTGTGGTACAGCCTTTTCCAACTCTTTACTCCTTCTCTCCATTTCCTCTTTGCTGTCACCTATCGTCGCTTCACCAGCTTTTCGTTTTCTCTTTTTTTCCTGGCATTCCTCTTCTTTTTTAAGGCCCACAAATTCATTAAGTTTATTGATCCGCAAATCGTCATAGTCATTATGCCTTTGATTTAATCCGCTTAAACCTGAACCTGGTGCAGCCACCACCACCTCCCCCTAGCATGTACATAGATCCCGCTCCCCCCTTTAGATTTCCACCTTTTTTTTGCCATTAAATCCTGAGCGTAATTGAGTAATTTCCATCTGAAAACGGAAGCGTGTGTAGGCTCTGAGCTGATTGGTTGCCTCTCTCTCTCGCTCTCACTCTCACGAGCCATCGAGGAAATATTTAGTTAGCCTAATTATGCGCTAGTATATCGCATAATTTTGATTGCCTCCATCCCCTCGCCATGCACCAATTGAGTGGTTCTCAATGAGAGAGCGATTCCACTGACGGAAATGAAGGTGAAATTTGCCCCCACGACGACAGCGACGACGACTGTCGTTCATAAACATCATCAACATAATGAGAAACGTTTGGGCAACTCAAACTGGAGCTAGGTACATCTAGGTCAGAGATGTATCCGATACTCTACGCCTTTCATCATCCTTACGTCATGCATATCGGGGTTTATAAAAATTCTTTAGGGGCTTCTGCTGGTCAGTTTGCAAACAATTCAAGTGGCATATAGCTATTGCTAACATTTCCATTTCCATCTCCATCTTTTGAATGGTCTAAGATAAACAGAAATACAGAGACATTCTGCCCTAATTCATACTCCAAATTTAAGTGATTTAAATTTAAAGACAATTTCCCAAGACCGTCAAAAATATCTGCTTGCCGCATTCCCCTTTGCCGAGCTTTCTCTCCAGAATGAACTTTCTCTTTCAGTTATTCTGCAAAGTGAAGGAGTCGGACTGGGGGCTTAAATGAAAAGATAGCTGAGAATTTATCATCTTCTCGCTGCGCCACGGCCTCCTTTCACTGATATTAAACACGTTTATTCTAAGTTTTCCTCTGACGCAGTTTTTCATATTGCGTTTGGCCATATTTTTGCGCCATGTTTTGTTGGATTGCGCAAAAATTTCAAATTAAGTTGCAGAGAGCCGAGAAACACAACACAGATGGGAGGGAGTGGCAGGGAAAGTGCTTGAATGGGATGGGCAAAATCTGAGTCTGAGGCACAGCCTGAATCTGAATCTGAATCTGAATCTGAGGCAATGGCAGCGTCAGAGGGAGTGTCTGAAGCGGAGGCAGTGCTGTAAGTGAGCAACAGAATTGCATCACGTACATGGGCAATTTGCCAGCGGAATACAATACAAAAGATAAATACACACACAGCAGAAAGCTGGCCAAGAGAAAGGATAGCCAGAGTTTCCTTCAACATACCTTCTGTTCCATTCTCTTTTATAGGTATACCCGGTAATCGTTTGCATGAAGAAGGTATATTGTAGATATACTGAAGATGCGAATCTAATGTCTAACAAACAGAATATAGAGACCAAGTTTCCCATTGATCGTGCTGCCAATTAATTTATAAATAAATAATATTTGGATCAAATCTTAAATTTTTCAAAGCATTGAATCTGCATAGAGGGTATCCCATAGTATGAGTACCAGCATAGGATTTCGCTTAGATTTTGTTTGTATTTTTTTGGCACAGGTTTTCTGCTGTAGAATTTGTGAATCGCAGCGAGAAACAATGCCCAGGAATAAACCAAATAAATGTGAGATATATTATATATTGTGTTAAAGAGGAAACTACATATAAGAGAAACAGATATGGAAAGAAAGAGATACTGAGGCAGAAATACTGAAACAGATTACTTTTCGTCGCTTCGTTCGCTCAGTGCAATTAATCTTGCCTTGAATGGTCCCGGTCCCTCTCTTCTTTATTTCTCTGTTCTCCCCCTTTTCGTATGTGCATGCACACATACATATGTATTTTTTGTTAGCCCACATCCCCCCTCCCAACACTTACCCACAACAATCATGTCCTCGTGACCGGAAACTGTCTGAAACGAAGGCGCCTCGCCGGACACTTCGCAGCGATACCGTCCAGTCGACTGAAGGCTAACCGAACGTAAAACAACAACCACGTCCGTGGAATTTTGCAACTGTAAAAGAGGGGAAAAATGTGGCAAAGAGGAGAGTAAGAAAATGCACAAAAAGAAAGCGAAAGTTGCACAGCATGAGAGAATCCTCGCAGCAGTTATATTTGATTGCTTTTCACATGGAAATTTTGTTCAAGAAACTTTAAAATGAATGCAGCAAGCCCAAGAGATTGGCACGAACTAGAACTACAAATTGTAATCTCTAAAGGATGATCTTGTTTATATCAAACTCTGTATTCCCATCAGCTTTGGCTTTTGGTGGCTCCTCGTCTTCATCTTCATCCTCATCTGCACCCTCATCAGCCGCCTCCTCGTCTTCTGCATCATATTCCTCCTCGGTTGCCATATCTGTGAGAACCTCCAGCATATCTTCCAGCGCCTGATCCTTGACTGGCATCACTTGATCCAGACTTTCGACTGTGGGTGAGATATTGTAGTGCTCCATCGTTTGCTTAAACTTGAGGGCATGATCCATGTGCAGAACACGCAAATGTTCCTTCTGGGAATCGCCAACGTGGGTGCACAGCTCGATGGGATCCGCGGATGGCTTTCGGATCTCCTCGACTATCTGACGTATGGCATCCTCCTTACCGATGGGCGGAACGGACTGCTCGAGTGTTTGCAGTAATTTGGATTTCTTGTTGCCGAGCATTTTGTTGATAATCTAACTTAAAATATGATCCCAAATCGAAGGGGAACTAGATTGTTCTAATAGAAAGAGAACTTACCTCAACATCAACTCCTGGCAGGGGAAAGACCTGCCCTGGCGGCATATCCCTCGGCACATAGCGATAGAACTCGAAGCCATCTTTATACCATTTAACGGAGTACAGCGACTCTCCATCCAGATCAAACTTGCAACCGAGCGCGGCATCCTCGTGCCGCATTATGTGCTTGGGTATTTTGATTTCGGTCATTGTCAGGCATTCCGCGGCTTCTGCAAATGGAAGACAAAAAGAATTGTTTGTCAACTATTTTGTCACGACTTTAATAAGCCCCTGGCATGCTGTACGCTGCATGCTGCATGGGCTCTCGCTCTCAGTTTCAATGCCAGAACTAAGACCAGGACATAAATAACTGCCAGCAAGTGCATAAAAGTCAAGGAAATCGAAGGCAAGTCGCCCGCCAGCGCCCCAGAATGAACGCCCGACTAGAACAATGCGCTTTTGTTTTGCCAACACAATGCCCCCGTATCCCAGAAGGGGACCCGCCACGAACGGCGAATGAACGAGGCTAACTTGAGAAACGTGTCCTGGTTGTGAAGCTCCGCGTCCTTCTCAGCACCGTCTTTGGGGGGGTAGGCTTTGCAGGGAGTGCTCCGAGTAGATGCTGTCAGGGTGTTAGTACTCTCGGCTCTGGCTTTGGGTGGCAGGGGTAACTTAACACTCGAGACAATGCCAGAGTGAAATGAAAAGTTGGCAACTTATTTAACAGCCCAAGACAAAGACGGCTAGGAAGCCTAGCTCGCTCGCTCGCAGGGCAATTTGGGTCACGCAAATCGAGATATGAAATTAATATTGCAGAGCCCTGAAATGAGCAGCAGCCAGCGAAAGTGGAGCAGCAATCTCAGTCGCTAAAAGTAGAACATTGTACATTGGATGTGTGTCCAAGTCTAAGACGAGAGCTCATGTAAAGCCTCTCGCTATTCCAATTTAATGATTATATTCAGGGAAATATCTTGACGGCTTAATATTCATCATTCTCATATCCTCTCCCCCCCCCCCAATGCACAATTCTTTTTGCATGCACATCTTCATTTGTCTAACAAAACATTTGCTTTCATTTGATTAGTCATTACACTTGTCGTCGGCATTGCGTCAGCCCTTCATCAGGCATTCCCACACTCCCACACTTATTTGGTTGGAATGCAATCAAATCATGGAAATCCCCTTGCTGTCAAATAGAAATCAAATCAAAAGTAAACCAAAAGTCAAACCAAAGTGAATCCCCGTCACCCTGAAGGGAAGTCTGCCCACATTCTCATTAGACCCGTCAACAGTTTGGGAATTTATTTTTGGCCAAGTTCAAGAATAACCACAAAGCTATGCCTAAAAATACAACTGTCCTGGCGAGGGCGGGGGGCGAGGCTAAGCCAAGTGTGTGTCTAAAAATAAGTGCAGCATTTCATTACCAAACAGGAAGCGACATTAAGGCCTTAAAGGCTTTTTTTTTACGTCGTTTGGTTTTGTATTTTTGTTTTCTTTTTTCTGTATTATGTGGTCGTTCAACCAAACAGCCAGCGAAGCGACAAACAAACACAAAAAATAATAATAAAAAGCACAATGCACAAAGGCTTAAAAGAGGCAAACCTATGGGACCAGCAGGCTTTGGGGAACGAATATTTGCATACCCTTACCCAGAGTATTGCTTCGGGATATAATTATGAAACAATTTTAATGTGCGTTTTATGTATTGGGTTCTCTCGTGCCAAACATAATCCCAAAAGCCTATTACCCTCTGCATAGAGCATCTGAAAGGAAAAACAGCCGCCATTGAGGCCGATGAGTATGATGGTGACGCTGATGATGACGCTGATGATGATGATGTTGCGGAGCAGGGAGGGTATGCGGATTGAGTAGAAGGACGTCGCCCACTTTGGGCTTTTTGCTCCTTTGAGTGCATTTCCGCTTTGCGGCTGCGGCTGCGACGGCGGCGTAGTTTGAGTTCCTGTTTTCCCATTTGCCAGCCCCGCCCTGTGCGTGGCTTTGGCGGACATTTTGTGGGGAATAAACTCGTATTTTTGCGGGCACACAAGTACAATTTAGTATTATGCACTCTCCACTAGTTGGGTGTGCAGCAGCTGCCTCCTACCGACTGCCTTCCCGGCCAAAAGGCTCGCCTCCTCCGTTGGCGGAAGACAAACAAAGTGCGTTGCCAAAAGGTTTCGCAGCACAAAAGCCTTTTTCCTTTGCCAGGCTCTAACACTACAAGAACTCTAGTCCAAAGAGAACACTCCTTTGGCGTTGACTGAAAGCAAATGGAGTTTAAGAGCAAAAAGAAAAAACAACCTCAAAGTAATGAGAAGTTTTGGTGTGAGGTGTGAAAATCTTTGAAGATTCATTTAAAATTACGCCTTTTAATAAGGATTGCTCTCACGTTGGTGTATGGTAATGTAAGCAGATAATACAGATGAAGAATTTGCATTCTTATATAGACTTATTGAATGCTAAATTCCTTCCACTTTTTGGCACTTCAATTGGATGTGATATGAACAATGGAAGCATGATTTCACAGCTCATTAAATTTGCCAAATGTGTTGATGATGTGATGGGCGCCAAAAAATGAATTTTGACAAATGTCAAGCGCCGCAACCCGAAAGCAGAGACATCGCCCTGGGGCGATGGGGGGCTAATTAATAAGCCAGCGATTCGAAAGTTTTGTCATCTAACCTGAGCTTTAATTAAGAAGCGCCAGTGACAGGCAGACAGCAGGCGAGATGCTAAGATGATGGGGGAGAAATGCTGCTGGCAGGGCGATAAAGTTTTCCATTTGATGTCGTGTAAACGTCATAGTTATGGTCGAAAGGGGCTCACTGGCTCACGGGCTCAGTGGCTCAGCGGCTTTTGTTGCCTAGTTGGAGTATGCTTACCTTAACAGACAAAAGTTTTGCCACTTAATTATTGTTGATTTTTAAATGATTTCATTTGCCGCCCGGGGCCAACAAATGTCAGGCACAGACAAAAGTTTCCGCAGACTGCGAATCTTTCCCACACAATTGAGTTTCTTTTGGGAATTCAGTTTTGCCTCAAAATCTAATTCACAGAAATGCAAACGGATGGGCGTAGGTGGTGGCAAAGGAGCAGGAGCAGGAGGCCGAGTGTCAAATGCAGAAGTTTACGGACCAAAGTTTAGCTTTGCATATCATTATGGCCGCTTCAAGGGGTTAAGTCATCTAAATGCTCATGGTGGCCCAGGGAGGTCTACATAAACGGCTAATCGACTTTCCAAAGGGGTTTTATGGGTAATTTGTTTTCATAAGTTTAATATTCGAGCTTCATTTATGGTTTGTCTACAATTATATATAAATTAATAATGAATATTCTCCAAGTGAGCTCCAATTCATGGAGCAACTTTTGAATCCTTGTACCTTTAATATGTTTAGATACGCTTCAGCCAGAGCTGACTTCTTTAGTCTCTCATTTTCACTCTTAAATATTTTGGCAAGAACAGAACCAATGCAGAGGCAAAACCAATCAAAATCATCCTTAGCCGAAAACCCATTTAGCAGCAAAATGACAACAGAAGCGGCTTACCGAAGCGGATTAGTTACACAATGCAAACAGGAGGAAAATACTGAAGTCCTAGCCAAGGCCTCTGGATCTCTCTCTCTCTCTGTCTCTCGGCAAAGCTATGCCAATTCCGAAAAGAACCAAATCCGACTGTCATATGAGAGCTGTGTACTGCTTTTCTCTGCCTCGACAGGCAAATGCAAAATGCAATTAATTTTATTAGAGTCCATTGAAAACTCATTGGAAAAGAGGCAAGCCAGAAGAGAAGGAGCGTGAGTGAGTGGGGGACAGGGAGGGAGATGGAGGCGGTTGGGTCAGAAGGCAGAAATTTATGGCCATGCCAAGGCTTCACTTACAATGCAAATTTTTTCCAGACCGTGCCAGAGAGGCTGTGACAGAGGCAGTGGCAGAGGCAGAGGCAGATGCAGGGAGGCAAAAATTATGATGCGGCTTAGTCTGGGCCATGGAAATGGGGTTTGAATGGATCGATGGGGCAGGGCAGACCGGATGCCAAGCCTTGAGCAAATAAAGATGTTTTTGCCATGTTTCGCAGACGCCAGCAGCATCAATACGCATCAATCCATCCGGGGCCCCCTTTAGGCCGGTCCAAGCCGGAGACTAGAACGTGCTTAATCTGCAATCAGAAGCGGAAGTTGCTCCTCATCCTGGCACTCCCTCTGTCTCCATCACCATCTCCAGTCTGCAGCTGAGTTTCAGTGTTTCAGTGTTTCAGTTTCAGAGTCTGCCTTTGACGATGAGTGCCATTCAGCCCAAAGCCCCCAAACAGCTCCCCGTTGTCGGCTCAGTGGAGCTTTTGCTGCATTGCAGGCGCACTTTCATTTTCATATCTCACAGCAGTAGATTCCAAAAAAATAAAGAATAATGCATGTACTCATTGGCAACAAAAAACTTGGCAACAATCGATCGATTCCCGTTGCTCCTACAATAGACGGTTAATCGCAGGGCAACAAAGTCAAAAGTTTCTCTTTCGTTTGCATTCCATGGAATTTTTGTGCCAACAATTTGTGTTTGTTATTTGCTTCCAAAAGTTGCATTATTCTGCTCGGTTGGCATGCAGGAATGCAGTTGTTTTTGCAGGTTCGATGCTAAGGGAGGAGAAGTTACGTTATTACCAAAATGTCAATACATCCCGTAACTAGTGCCAATTGTGTTGCGTCAAATGTTAATCGAAGGGACAAATGTGTGGGTTTAATTAGGCGACGAATATTTTCTTTAATTAGAATATCAATTAAATTGCCAAACACACAGAATGCTTACGGACAGCTGTGGTAATATAATTAAAATTCACTTCGGCTTGAAAATATATCTTCTAATGTCAATACATGCCATCAACCGGCCCACAATTTTCCACACCCATTTGCACAGACACAACATGGCATCAATTAATTCAATTACATTGCGTGGAATGGAATCGCCTGCACGACACATTGCGGGAAAGTGAGACCGAAGATAGGCATGCAAAATGAATGTTGGCTAATTTCTATCTAAGGTGAGCTAAAGATAAGTCAAAACGAAGTAATATATAGACTGATGATGAATGGTTTTGTTATAAATATAAATGGCTAAATTGATTCTAAGAGGACTCGTTAGAGCTTTACTACTTCATCGATTGTGGCATATTCATGTGCCAAAAGCTAATGCCACATTCCTCAGCAACCATTTTCGCCACCTCATCAGGTGGCTGCCTTTCAATCAACCTTCACAGGAGTCTTACTCATTCTCGCTTAATCGTTGGAAAAATCACCTGCTAATAATAATCGTACTTATAGGTATTTATGAGGCCTTAACAATTCCAGCAAATCTTAAATAAACTCTGCTCAAAGCCGCTTCAATTGTCGTGGGTCATTGAGGTTTTATCAAAGAAGGTCTCTGGATGTGGACTCGCATTTGGTCTTACTCTTTTCGGTAATGCTTTGTTCTTGGTGTGGAGTGCGTGTCGCTCAACATTAGTTTCATGTGCTGCCAATAAATATGTACTTCCTTCGGGCAGTTGGCCCTGGCTGCTCCTTTTGTTAGTTACAGTTTGGCAAAAGTGTGCGCCACGTTAACTTAATTTCATTATTTGTTGCTTGCCCAAGTTCTTGTATGTTCACTTTGTTGATACCCTGCGACTTGGGGTACCAGAGGTACATTGTATTTGTGGAATGCATGGCTCGGGGAAACTTTTGTCAGTTTGGAACGTGGTGCTGAAGCCTCTGCAGGAGAATGTCCTCTGGCTACTGGGTGTTTTGCAGTCGTGGCCATCGTCTACTTGTAGTATTCTCTCCCCTCTGTGTTCCCTTGAATTCCATTTCTAAATGCGGCATGCGTACGTGACCTCATAATAGGAAAATAAGATTTCTATCTATAATTCAGGCAATGCGCTCGGCCAGCTAAGTGCCAGCAAGTAATAATCATTTCTATTTCTCTTTTCTCCCAGAGAGTTTGTCTAGACAGAAATTGTATTTGTCAGTAATTATTATTTCGCTCCCCATCGCTCACAGTTTGGACAGGGAAAGTAATGCTCCCAAATAAGTTTCTTCCTTAAATGGTAAGCACAGAGATCTGTGGCAGCGCACAAAGTTTTTCTTTTCGCTTTGACAAGTTTACCGCAAAAAGGAAACGGAAATGGAAGTGCATAAAAACTTAAACATGTTTATTTATTTAATTAAATGCGGCATCCTGGAAGTTTGGTGCTCTACTTATTCCGCCCTCCGCCTGTCTCTCTGCTCGTCGTGTTTTTTGTTAGCAATCAAGTTAATTAAGTTGATGATTTCATAGATGAAACAAAAATGAATATTAATAAAATATACACAATTTATTAATTGCATTTGTGGCGCTATTCAAATACGTGTGCACACAATTAAATCGAATTAATGATTCTCTTGAATTCCTTGAATTTATTCCTGGAAAAATGGCAACCAAATGATGTGGAAATTGTTCCCTTTAAAGAGTCTCAAATCGATCAAAACCCTTTGGTTGCGAATGGAACTGATTGCTTTACCACTTTCTAAATATCGAAATTATTCATGACCTGAGACAAGCCGCCCCCACCAGCTGTTGAAGAGTCAAAAGTCTTGCCCCAGCGCGGCGGCTTAACCGCGACTCTAGCTTGTTTGTCAGTTAATTTTGTTTAGTTTTCGCCAGGCAGTTTGTTGAACTTAATTAAAAATAAATAACAGGCAGTGGCAAAAGTTGTTGTTTGTTCCTGGGAAGTGGAATGGGTTCCCGTTCCAAGGGGGAAAGGATTTCCTGCGAGGAAGTGGGTGGGACTCATCTTTGACAGCCTTGACTTTGTCGGGAACTTTATAAACTTGAGTAGGTCTCAAAAGGGATTTCCCCATCGATTATTGAATGCATTTTAAATGAGTTATCTTTCAACCCGAACACATGGCGTATGATTTATGTATATTCGAGGGATGAATTTCGCAGCTGGTTGATAGAGTTTTTCCTTACCGTAGCAGAGTTGTAGAAGCATCCAGGCGAGAATGAGATGGCAACGTTTATATTGTGGGGCATCCATGGTGCTGTTGCATTAACCTTCTCTTTCTATACTCTTGTATCTATATATTTTATCTCGTTCTCTACTTTTCACACTGTCTTCCACTTTCTCTGTACGCTTTTTCGTTCTATTTCCAGCGAACAAGCTTCGTCTTGGGTGAAACTTTAATTTTTCAATTTGTTGCGGAATATTTGGTTATTTTTCTTATTTGTCCCCCTATTCCTCGAACTGTACCGCTGCCACTAGCTCTATCTGTGTTTGCTTTTGCTTCGTTTGCGTTTTCCTCTTGTCTCATTTGTGCAATGCAATAAATTTTCCCTTGACCGCCAACGAGGGAAAGCGTCAGCCAATTGCTTTTCTTGTTCTGGCTCGCTCTGTCGTCTGCTTACTTATATTTATTTTCCATGAGCTCGTTGCTATTTGCTTCTCCTATTAAGCGTGCTCCACTGTACAGTACACACCCCCACGCAAACACACAAACACACAAACACACAGACCTCAGTCGCATTTACATGCCATATCCTGTCTGCTGTGCGCGTTTTTCCCTATTTGTGTTTGCTCCTCCTCTATTTGGCAATGGGTCCTTCCCTTTCTCTGTTTATTTCTCGTTCTCGTTCTATTTCTATTTTCGGGCTTCCACTACTCCGGGTTTTGTTGCTCTGTGCTGTCTGTCGCTGAACGCACTGTATTTAATTGAAACATCAGCAAAAGTGTCCGTGTGCCAGGAGGTCTGTGAATGGAAGAAAATTGAGATGTATTGAATATTTATCTGTTTATTTATCTTTCTTGGCCAAGTGTCATTAAGGGTTGTGTAACTAAACTGAAGTTTACACATAAATATTAAGTTTATTCAAGCCGAATTCGCTCATTCCAATCGATATTAAAATGTTATTTATTTGCATCAACGAATTGTAGCTGGCCAGCGTTCCTCATTTCGACAGATCTCATCATTACTTAATAGTTTCCACCATCCTCAGCTGACATACATGCGAAGGTAAATCAAATATCTTCGTCTAAATATTACATGAATGTAGACACACTCATAAGTAGATATATATTTCGAATGTCAGTATCTATGGCTGCATTCACAAATTACAATGAATATTTGAGTGTATTTTGTGTGTTGGCAGACCTGCTGCAGTTTGCCTCAAAGTAAATTTCCAACTGCGAGAAACGGGGAGCCGTTGAGCAAAGACCTCAAGTGACAGAGACAATTGTTCTGTGTACTGCGGGCACACAAACAATAAACCAAATGAATTAATCATACAGTTTATGGCCAATAAATGATAATATGTATTAAATGCTCTCCCAGCCAGGAAGCAGAACCCTCCAAGGCCTAGAATGGAGAGCCCTCAAATCGGAGGACTTGAGGCCAGCTTCGGAGCTCAAAAACCATTGAGTAAAGGCATAAATTAACAATCACATGGAGCAAGACGGCTTGGGGTCTGGCCAAAATTAAATTTGCATAAAATCAATTAAAACCGAAAATCTACCCAAAAAGCAGCCAAGGGAAGCTCAACGGGGGAAAACATAGAAAGGAAAGGAAAGTCTTTTTGGGGAAAAGTTTTCCAAAATGAAAATCATATTTTGTAATTAGAGGCCATGAATAATTTTAGCACCTTGTTGTCAGCTATTTTAAGATGTGGCTCACACGTACACACATAAACCCCCTGTCGAACGGTGCGAGTGAGTGGCTTATGCAAAATAGTTCTAGAGCCACACACCCACTGCGTATTCTTGATGTTTGGCCAAGTCTCAGTCTTTTGCATAATTAATTATGTGGCAGTCATGGCACTGGCTTGTTAAATATGCAAATATATACTCCGGCACCGTCGTATACAAGGTCTAAAAGGACTCCTGGACTCGGGTCACTAACATCTCTGTAGCTTCTGTAGCCCCCGTATGCGTGTGCATGGACATCTTTTGGTCTACATTTTTACCACAAATTCAATTTCGCCAGTCCTTAAAAGTGTTTTCGTTTGCTGCTTTAAAGGGGGAGGCCACAGATTTGCTTTTAAGGCCATGTTCAATGGCTGGTCGCAACACACAGAAAGTCTTGTGGCACTCACACATGGAAGAGGTGGCACAGTGAGCATGTGGCATGGGTGTCCATGGATGAGAGAGAGGTCTCTGAATGCCAAATGAAGAAATGACTGAATGGCTGTACGGGAAGTGCCTCGCTGACTGAATGACTGACACTGCTCTCTCTCTCTCTCTCTGAGTTTGTGTGTGTTGTGTGTGTGGCTTGGCCCATTGTGCGTGGCAATGTGTGTGCAAGTTGGGGCCATGGCCAGCCCTTGATGTTGTGCACTTTGAGGCACACTTTTCCTTTAAACTTAAAGCCAGAAGAGTCTTGAGGTAGCTTATGGAAAGGAACAATCATTCTAGAAATTTAGTTTTACTCAATTCATGCAGCAAACAAATGCAAATTTGAACTTTTTGCATTATGCGCCAACAGTGGATCGGATGCAAATCATTGAGAAATAATTGTTATTGGGCATAATCGAATAAAATGCTGAAAAGCAAATGAATATTGCTAATATTTCCTCGAAACATAAACCATAATAAAAAGAAAAATGATTCAGCAGACTGGTACTTTGAGTTTTTCCCATGGCCAGAGACCATTAAAAACATGGCCAATGAAATAAATTTCAAAAATGGCCCCACTCTTGGTAAACATTTCTCTAAAATATGTTTTCTCAATAATGGCTGGCTGGGGCAAAAAAATCTCGCTTTTATTTCTGACAATATCATTTTTTAGTGCCAATTGATGTGGTCGTAAAACCGTCTAACCTGGAAGTGACCTCTCGGAGAGTTTAGGAATTTAACGATCTACCAGAGCGGAGGGTTCCACCTCGATTCTCTGCTTGAAACCACCTGGAACTAAATGAGACTAATGAAAGCCCATAATTCAGAGTCCAGAGGCCGGCCAGGCCTGTCCCACAGCTCAGCGTCTAAAATTAATTGGCATTGTACGGGAATTTAATATATAAGCGGGAAATACAGGAGAATGGAAATGGCAATAGATGTCGGTTATGTATGGCCGGATCTGGCTATAGAATTTCATAATTATAATAATTTATGTTGACACCTGAGGCGTGTGCACAAATTGAACAGGGGATGCCCCCAAGGTCCACCAAGTTAATAAAACTTAAAGTTACAATTTGTGTGTGTTTTTCCTCTCTCTCTCTCTCTCTCTCTCTCTCTATCTGTCTCTGTCTCGCTTGCCCTGGGGAAATCTGTAGGAAATTGTTTGTCGCATAATACTTACTTATGACTGGTATTTTTCTTCGTTTTTTCTTTGGCTGGCCAAGCTTAAGGAGCCGCTGAGGTGCCGCTTGGACCTTGGAGTCGCGATTCGCGGGAGTGTAGAGAACTTGGCAGGACTTCAATGGAGGTGTTCTCTTCGCTTTTCTAGCCTTAAGAGTTGGCTGGCCACGTGCATAGTAATAACAAATGATTGCTTGTCACGCACGTAACGGTACTTTCATTCATAATTTATGCATTTTAATTTGTCAAAACGTTGGCAAAACAGTACGAGGGATTCCCCCTTTCGGTGGCGCGCGAGAACTTCTTTAGGAATATGAATTTCTGTTTGGAGACTACCTTGTTTTGCTCTGTTATCCTTTTGCTCATACGAGTAGTGCAGCTTGTGTTTGTTTCGAATACTTTTTATTCATAATTTGCACTCATACACACTCACACAAACACACGCGCACACAGTCGTACTGGAACACCCACGACTGGGACACACGCACGATGGTCGCCGTGCGTTCGGCTAAAACGCGTTATGGGTGGATAGCAGTCCACGGAAGGACACGGAAGGAGCACGCAGGAGTTTCGGCGTCGCGTCGTCAACCACACAGCACCAATAACCGACCAAGACTAAAAGCTTTGCTACCCTTATTACCTGCTTTTTACAGGCCCCACACACACGCACACAGTGGAGCTTCTCAGAGGACGAGGGCGCACACGAGGATATCGCAGGATAAGAACGGAACACGAGAACGAAGTATGTCCTTCGGCAAAAGAGTGGATATGCGGGAGAGTAATATCTTGGAGGCATAAACTAGTTCGCGTTGTCTGAGGTTACGAATGAATATTCGTACCAAAGAACGCAAGAGAGAGCCAAAAATGAAGATACAGAGCGAACACAGCAAAATACTCAACGTGCTCTTTGTTTGTTTCAATTCCACTTTGTCACTGTTATGCTAAGGTTATGTTAAGGGTTTAACAGAGCAATGTAAAAAAGAATATAACTGAATGCACTGTTACAGTGTGCTGTTAGGGTTGAAAACTGTTAAAATAGGGGGATTATTTTACGTCTACAGCAGCTTAACATGTGTTATCAGAACGTTTCAGCACATAGCAGAGCTCTGCTAAGCTTAGCAGAACGGAAAAAGATTCATTTTCTGTTGTTCAGAGTTTCTGTGTTTCAGCTGTAGTCCCTCAACGATGTGCAGATTTAGTTATCGTTTTTTTTTCTACTTAGCCTGCATCACTCCCTTTGTTATAGCTTTTTAACATATTTTAGCTGGTCTTTTTGGCAATATTTCCAGGTACTACGAACAAGCTACCTGTATGTTGTAGGTTCTGTTGTACCACACAAACATTTCTTTCAATATTTTGCGGAGAGTTTATTTGGTCAATTCAATTCCAGGATATCCATACACCTACAGTACCAGGCACAACCATAATTAATTTCTTGAATAATTTATCCACAAATCCCTATACTGTCGAAGTACCATTTAACATTATATTCCGCTAAGGGGAGCTAAGCCAGAGCCTGAGTACTTTCCCCTTAAAAAAATCACCGCGTGGTGCTCCTATCCTCTAGTCTACGTTGAGTCCTCCACAGAGCCTGCATCAATAGCAGTTTTATTGATACGCACACAGTTCTGCCTACTCCAATAAGAAAAACAATAGTGGAGGACAGCAAGAGAGAGAGAGTGAAAGGAGAGAAGCAGATCTGGAGAATGGGAGATTGGTAACACTCACACACACATCCCCCAAGCTAGTGAAGCATCAATAGAAAATACCAATAACATCGACATCATTCTATCCTTCGCATCATTAGCCCAAACAAAAACTGCTGACTGGGGCACAATGCCAGCAGGGATATAGAGAGAAGAAGAGGGTACGGGATATGAGGAGACACCGCCCCCAGCGTTCTACACTTTCTCAGGACTCTCTCCACTCGCTACCACCACCTACAATCCTGACCAAAGCCGAAGGGTCTTAAACTTTTTTTCTTGTTGTGCTGCACATGCCCGGGAGGCAATTTGAAGTTGAGGCAGCTTCCTGTCCCTCTCCTTGCACCACCGACGGCATGTTGCACCCATTCTATATGCCCCGACATCGGCTCATTGACAGTCATAACGCTGAAATGCGCCTCAACTTGAACTAATTTGTGCGCAATTTGCGCGAAGAAAGGCATCGGAACCACCAAAGGCAATAGAAGCAGGGGGAAAGGGACAGAAATAACGAGACAGAGAGAGGGAGATGGAGGCAGCCAATGAATATAGAAAGAGATGGCAAGACCGTAACAGCAGAGCAGAGAAAGAATGGCAAGCATTTGCACTTTTACTTAAGCGTAAAACTTTTGCTTTTGCAGGTTGCAGCCAACTAATTTTTCCCCCCATCTTCCTCTCTACCACATTTTCCGAATAGAAAGAAACCTTGTGTGGGGGGAGGGGAGATATGTGTGAGAGGAATAGTGAAGGAAGAAGATGGTCGAAAGGAGATGGCAATACCACCGCTGATTGCGTCAACTTTTTTCCTCAATTTGTTTTGTTTCAAGTTCGTTTTCTCTTGTTGCTCTGCATAAATTTGATTATTCGAAATTCTGTGAAGGTGCAAAGGCTCCATTCGTATCGTATCACTACTACCCCCATCTATAGCAGATGATTCCCTTTGTGAGGGAAATCCAGTCTCTAATTGCCTGCCACCGACGACGGCCATCTCCTTTATGAACTGATTGAATCTCTTACACTCCACAGGCGGCTTTATTATTTAACGTTTCAATTACACGCAAAGTCGGAATCGGAATCGGAGATAGGGTCTCAGAGATGGATACTATAGAGGAACTCCTCCTGCTCCTACTGGAGACTATTTAGCATGTAAATGTGAGTCAGTGCCAAATAGTAGTGACGCCTTGTCCCAGTCACAGTCATAGTCCACCGTCTCTGACTGAGTCTCCAGATGTGGAGCGTAGTCTTAGTCTGCATTTCAGAGGCAGAGAATCTGTTTTGCATACAAATGGCTTTTCTTTATGTTTATGGGATGTGGAGCAGGAGAAGTGGGTCTAGGGAAGACGGGAAAATAATTTCGCAAATGTTTCATTTGATTACTAAATGAATCGCTGTTGGATCTTGCCATCTCTAATTGTCTTTCATGGTAATGGAAAATGTCTGAAGCGTTCGCTCTAACCAACTTTAGGTCAATATTTTAAAATAGAATTACTTGGAGATTGTAAACTGAAACCTTTGGCAAATACAACTACTTTAAAGTTAAACCAAAGAAATCATTTTGAGCGAATTTAAGTTTTCAAGTTTACGGACAGGTGCAGAGGGACAAACCTAAATCGATTTTATCGCTTTATCAATAGCCGGTACTGGTCAAGAGTGTACACATATGTATGTATGTACATACATACATATTATGTATTCCATCGATCGTTTGCACTTTACTACTCCGTAGCAGCAAAAGCAATAAAAAATTTGAAATGCTTTCGCTACCGCTCTCGCTTTGGACGTAGCCGTAGCAGAGAGCAGGAGAGGAGATGTGCTCTGCGTAGCCGGAGCGGTAGCTCAAAACTGCGTGCGAGATGAGAGCAGAGATAATGCAATTTTTGCACTAACTACGACTCTTGGGCTTTGCTGGGTTTGTTGTTGCTTTTTGCTTTAATTATGTGATCGGTTTGTTCGCACTCTGCTTCGTGAGTCGCTGGGCTCGTCGCTTGACGAGCGCCGACCAAACGATCACAGCAATAACAATTACTTGTATTTGATGAGAAAGGCTATGCCCGACTGCCAGGTGACTGTGCCAGCTTGAATTGTTGTCGAAGGTCGTGGACAATCAAGTTCACAAGATAAGTTAAATTAATTAGCAAAAAGCTTGATTTAATGCATGGCGAAGAAACACCTTTTCTCTGGTTTACTTCGCTCACATTATGCACAAATTAAAGAATCTTTCAAAAGGCAAAAGTTAAGACACATTTTCACTTTCACAGCTACATTTGGCCGCCGGAAAAACGCAATTTAGTGCAAATAAAAAAAACACAAACAGTAAAAGCAACTTCAACTTTGCTTCGTGCTCATTGTCGTGGATTTTTAGTGTTGAAAACAATTGAAAGTGTTGGCAGCTGCACATGTCTATATGGGGGTGGTAGTGCCATGAGAGAGGTGCTATATAGGGTAGGGACACGGTGGGACAAACACGACATGCAAACTCATAAATGCGGCCGCATAAAATTGTAGGCAGCAAAAACGCAGACACACAAACGCATGCCGAGAGAATCTCACACACAAACACATGAATGCATTTACCGTCGTCAGTGGCAGAGGCAGAAGGCAGAGGCAGAAGAAAAAGCAAGAGAAGTAGGTAGTAACTATAACAAAGAACTCGGTCATTTGGTGCACAAAACGCAGCCAAAAGCACGCCCCATGCTGCTAAATGCTACAACAAAAATACAGAAAAGTGAAAAAAAAACGTAATACTAGAAAAAAAAAGAAGTTCAGAAAAAGAACGTGGAAGCACGCACAGAAGAAACCAAGCCACGAACACAAACAAACAATCACCAGCGGATATGCATATGAGTGCACATGCGGATGGACATGTGTGAAATGTTTGCCGAACAGGCCTCAAACGGTTTCAAAAACGCTTTCGAAATTTTTTAGCAAACCAACCATATTGGGGTATACATACTCGTATTTTTGAAATATTTGTGCATGTGGGCGAGGAACGTTAGAGAGAGGGCAGGTGTCTTCTTAGGCGATGATTACTGTAGCCCACAAAAATAAAAGTATGTGAATGTTTTTCTATGCATCTGTGTACACATTCACATGTACGAGTATGTGTCATTGCACTCTGTCCTGTAATCATTATGACTAGAGGAGAGGCTGCTAAAGGCGCACATGACATAGACAGTCACGGAGAGACAGATAACAATGCAGAAAACTTTCCATTTTCCACATCCCTTTCCCTGCTCTCTTTTTCTGTGGAGTGCAATTATCGTTGGGTTTATGATGTGCAAATGCATGGGGCAAAGGCACAAAAATGGGCATACAAATCGCATTAGATGGGTGGCTCCCCCGAGAAGAAGCAGAAAAGGATCTGTCCATACTCGTACATATTTCGAATCAATTTTCTTCACAACACTAAAGTGCTGATTAATACTCAGAGGAAATGGCCGCAGGATTGTGCGTGGAGTGGGGTTTGCCGTGCTATTTATAAGCCTGCGGTTCTTGGCATTCCAATGCATTGGCTTCAATGAATAATTAAGCGGTTGACGTTGCCGGGGAACGGGAAGGAGATGGAGCTTAAGCTGGAGATGGCGCTGAACCACAACCACTCACTCACACTTCCACAAACCTCCACTCACACACACGCAAAGGCAGGAAGCCGCAACTCCTTGAGAAAGATGGGGTATGTAAGGATATTTTTCACTTGTCAGGACATCGCACATACATATGTACACATGTACGCCTCGTTAGCCCCGACTCAAAAACTGAAACCGAGCCAGAACCAAAAGTAGATCCCAGAAACCGCACCAGCGGCCTGAATAAAAGCGACGAAATGCCATCTAATTTATAGAACGTGGCGGTTATTTCTTTTAAGTGCTCGACAAATAGAAACAACAAACACGAAACACATTTCGTCACGT